TTTCCATTGAAAGAGCAGTGATACATAACATGCAAGATTATGAAGGATAAACAAGATTTATGAACTGATACATGAATGAATAGAGTTAAGATTTGTACGGTTCCTTGCTGTGGTGGCTGAGAGCAGACATACGACCGGAACGGTAAAAAAGCTTTGGTGGCTGAGAGTAGACAAGTGACTGCAAAGGGTTAAAAGCTCTGAAGATTTGCTCCAGTTGAAGTAAAAGTTCACTAGAACCATTTCTACAATTAAAGAGTGAATTAGTGATAATTCACCCAAGGCTTGGGCAGAAATTCATCTTTCCACAATCTATAATCTGTATCAATTTACCATAAAAGTTACACTGCTTTTTTGCTCCAGTTGAAGTAAAAGTTCACTAGAACCATTTCTACAATTAAAGAGTGAATTAGTGATAATTCACCCAAGGCTTGGGCAGAAATTCATCTTTCCACAATCTATAATCTGTATCAATTTACCATAAAAGTTACACTGCTTTTTTGCTCCAGTTGAAGTAAAAGTTCACTAGAACCATTTCTACAATTAAAGAGTGAATTAGTGATAATTCACCCAAGGCTTGGGCAGAAATTCATCTTTCCACAATCTATAATCTGTATCAATTTACCATAAAAGTTACACTGCTTTTTTGCTCCAGTTGAAGTAAAAGTTCACTAGAACCATTTCTACAATTAAAGAGTGAATTAGTGATAATTCACCCAAGGCTTGGGCAGAAATTCATCTTTCCACAATCTATAATCTGTATCAATTTACCATAAAAGTTACACTGCTTTTTTGCTCCAGTTGAAGTAAAAGTTCACTAGAACCATTTCTACAATTAAAGAGTGAATTAGTGATAATTCACCCAAGGCTTGGGCAGAAATTCATCTTTCCACAATCTATAATCTGTATCAATTTACCATAAAAGTTACACTGCTTTTTTGCTCCAGTTGAAGTAAAAGTTCACTAGAACCATTTCTACAATTAAAGAGTGAATTAGTGATAATTCACCCAAGGCTTGGGCAGAAATTCATCTTTCCACAATCTATAATCTGTATCAATTTACCATAAAAGTTACACTGCTTTTTTGCTCCAGTTGAAGTAAAAGTTCACTAGAACCATTTCTACAATTAAAGAGTGAATTAGTGATAATTCACCCAAGGCTTGGGCAGAAATTCATCTTTCCACAATCTATAATCTGTATCAATTTACCATAAAAGTTACACTGCTTTTTTGACTTCCAAAGTACTACTCATAGGTAACTAGGTCTTGTTAATAAAAAAGACCATCTTAAGCTATCTATTTTGTCTGGTTGTTACCAAATATTTATTAAAGTAATAAAACTACATTTATTAAAAAATTATATGATCTAGAATATTTAATAATTCAGACTAGACTTTCCTATTAAGGAAATCAATGCAATTTTGCTATTATTTCTCTTTTCTCCTGAAATGAAAATGAACCCTTCTTGAAAACGCTTCCTTGTAAGAATTTCCAGTATCACTCAAGAAGTAACACTTCCTCAAGCAGGGAGAATTCCTCTTTAAGAGATTATTTTGCCTTTCTCTAACAAAGAAATGCACCTAAATCATTAAAATGTATTAAAATGTTCCCAATTTACATGATGCTTTAGACATTTGGTAAGCACGAGAGGTGTGCTACAAAATTTTAGCCTCAAAAGCCCAAACAAAACTTTATCAGACTATGAATTAGTATCACAACAGTTTTAAGTACACTTCTACAAGAGTAAGTAAAATCTAGTCAATATTCCATTTGCTTCTCAAGCTGAGCCCCTAATAAATTCCAATAAATCCTTTCACAATTTTACATTAACAGTTAGGCAGAAAGAACATGTTCTGTTGGAGAAATACGTAGTTCAAACTAAATGTTTCATTGCTAAAATACACTTCATGTTCTGAATCCAAGCTATGCTACATAACCTGTATGTTTTAGGAACTCTGGTTATCTTAAAATTCTACTTTCTTCCTCCTCTTACCACACAAATACTGTTAATGTAAATTTTTGGTTTATTAGATGCAAAGGCATTTGTACTTAAGAGAAATAGTCCTCTGAGTCAATCTAACATCCCCATGGAAGGTCCTCAAATTCAATTTAAGAAACACTAGTCCAAAGTACTTCAAACAGGATAAAACGCAAATCGACAAACCCTATACATTACACACAAAAATACTACTACTGTAAAAAATGTTGTGTCAAGAATTTTACTGATATCATTTAAAAAAGAAGAAATCATTAGACTATAAAAGACAAACATTGTAACGCACAGACAGGTCAGCACACAATACACCATTTTTTATGTCAATTCCTTGCAATTACCTAGGATAGCAGGCCTTGTTTAAAATTAACTCCAAGGAGTGGGGAGCCAACTTCCCCATCTTCCCACAGTTGAGAATCAACAGCTGGGCTCTACTTTCTTCAAGTAATAGTATTACATTTGTATGCTATTCTATAACAAGCAAGTGGTTTCCAATATAAAGCACCACTGAGTATTTCATCCCATACAAAGGAAACAATCCCGAAAATTTTATAACAGGATTCCTGGGAAGGCACTTAAAGCTAACAAGTTAAAGAAGATCCACATCATTTTGGAAACTTCTTTTATACTGCAGGCTCTTTAATACTGTCCTCCTATCATTTTACCTCCTGACCATGTTTCCCCCAAAATTAAATGCTGTTCAAATATAAATTAAGAAAGTTAAGACAAGAAGGGACAAGCCCACATCCTGACTGATCTGCCTCCAAAGAAAAGTGAATGTTATGACTCTAAGGAGGTAAGAAAACAAGAAGGAGCAAGAGAATAAAGCAAGCATGGCCTGGGTAGGATTAGGCTCTTGACATAAAGGGAAAAATAAGTTTCATTTTAGTTTTCAGATTCAAAAAGTCTTAAGGGTATTTTTGGATAATTAAGCAAATAGTTTCATGAATCTTTTTTAAAGGTCATCATCTATAAGTTTCAAGTGGTTCTTTACTCAAACAGTGAAGATAACAAGTACAGAGGCATTACGATTAGTTCAGGCTATTAAAAGGACACCTTACAAGGTTTCACTTAAATTATATACTTTGAAATTAAGTAATAATGGGCAATATTCTTCAAGTTCAGTAGTTGTGTCCTGGAGAGGAAAGTCAAATTATAAAGATTCAAATGTCTAAAAATCTAAATGCTTTACTTATAATAAACTTGGTATTAAGACATCATTTATAATACTAAATCATAACAGTATTGGTATGCTCAGTTCTAGTGAGTGATTTTAATACTTAAAAAATTGTTTTCTGCCCTGGCTGGAGTGGCTCAGTGTTTAGAGTGTTGGCCTGCACACCAAAGGGTCATGGGTTCAATTCCCAGTCAAGGGCATGTACCTGGGTTGCAGGTTTGATCCCTGGCCCCTGGTCAGGGCATGTTTGGGAGGCAACCAATCGCGGTCTCTCTCACACCGATGTTTCTCTCTCTCCCCTTTCTCCTCCTCCCCGCCTTCCCATTTTCTCTGAAAAAAGTCAATGGAAAAAATACCCTCAGGTGAGGATTTAAAAAAAAAAATTGTTTTCTAGCCCTGGCCACTGTGGCTCAGTTGGCTGAGTGCCATCCCATGCCCTGAAAGGCTGCCAGTTCGGTTCCAGGTGAGGGCACATGCCCGGGTTGGGGTCTCGATCCACCCTCCCCCATTCCCCATGCAATGCAGGAGGCAGCCAATGGATGTTTAGCTCTCACATGGATGTTTCTCTCTCTTCCTCTAGCTCTAAAAAACTAATAAGAATATTTTTAAAAATTGTTTTCCACTGTATGTGTTTTACAAAGTAATTTCATTAAGAAGACAAGTAAAACAGCAATCATTCTCTCCCAGCTTATTAACCAAAAAGCACACAAACCATAACAATTTTTAAAATGCTATTCTCCCTTAAGTAATCAATACTGAAAATCACTCATTAAATAAATTCACCATCAAAAATCAACCTTTACCTTAAATCCCAATAGAAATGACCTTATTATGGAAAAAGGTTCTATTTACTTCTCTCCACTCATACAATGAAACTAGAAATGTTACTGACGTTGTGACTGGACTGTGAACAATTTTCATATCACTGAAATATTGGATGGTTTGAAAAGAAATGAAGAGCTCTGCTGCTAGTCCAAAACATGCCTTTTATGTGAATTAGAAAAGGATGTCCTTTCCTCAACACAGTTTATTGCCAACAGTCAAAAAACTGATAATTAGCAATATCGTGACTATACTAATGTAAATGGCACCCTTGAGTTGTGCACAATTATGTCCAGAGTTCTCTCATAATTCCTTTTTCTATTATTTTCTTTTCCTATATATATATTAATTAAATCCATGACATCAGACCTAAGGTTCTCTTAAGGGGAAAAATAACGGCCCTCAACACAACTCCCTATATCACAAAATGACAGTTAAAGGGATCATACACATGCCACTAATAACAACGACAACACTGATCTTAATTCTCTCCTAAGGCTGTCTGATTTGTCTGGTTCTGAGGTCGTTAATATATGAGCTTTGCTCTTTCAAATATAAATGGTACTTTTAAACTGACAGAATACAGAAAATGTAAAATTCACATTAAGAATATACATGAAATGCTGACTTATGCTGACAATACTAGTTAACGGTTGGAAAACAAAAAACTGGGCATCATCTTCCCAATTCCAAACTTTTCAGATAAAGTATGTGCATAAGACCATGGCAGCTTTCACAGAAAACCAGAGCTGAAAGTTGGAGCACTTCCAATATCCAAAAATGTATTTGCTGCATCACAAAATCATTAAACCATAAGTCAAGGCCAGTAAGTATTCTTCCTAATTGTGCAGAGATGAATACATTAAGCCATACCATCAGCAGACTACATTGCCAAATATTAAGATTATTTAAAATCTTTTAAATTCCACAAATTCATGGTGAATAAAACCTCTAAAATTCAAGAATTAAAATTTACAAAAATAAATACCACTCTGACACTCAAGGGACATCTTCACTTTAAGGCCTTTATCACAAATCTGAATCTTTATTGTTCTGAAATAAATGTTATAAACATAACTCAAAACAAAAACTTCAATATTCAGTCTCAGAAGAGGTGTGGCACAAGGCCCATCACATGTAACAAGAAAACTTCCTTTAAAAAAAAAAAAAAAGAAAAAAAAAAGTACTATGAGAAGTCTTTCATATGAATAAAAATGCACCCTTTGGAGTTCTTCCTCATCTCATTAGCTTGCATACACGCAGGAATCAAAAGGTTTGCATTTTCTTCACTATAGTTCTTGCTATGATGTCTGACGGACTTTTTGCCACTCAACAAATTCATCGAGAAGAACGGGCCCTAGAAATAAAGAAACAATTTTTGTTAGAATTCAGTGAACTCATCTCTCTAACAATAAAACAAATAAAACAAGCTCCCCACAAGTTCTGTGGTAACAAGGAACTGACGCTTGCCCCTTTTAGGTGTTTTGCTTCCAGCCTCTCTTCTACTTAATGGTGCTGTCTTAGCATTTTCTTTTATGACATAAGGGACTTTTTCCACAATGGGTATCTGTAGCAACTTCCTTGTGAAGGTTTAAGTGTTCATGAACTCTCCAGTAACTAAATCAATGTTAACCTCTTCCTTTTTCCAACTGCCCATAGAATTTGCCTCTTAATTCTTTAAAAATCTGAAAGGTGTTAAACATAGTATTTCTATGTTACCTCACCAAGAAGTATGTAAGCTTGCTGAAGGGGTGTCCATAGTACAGACATATGGCTCCAGTAACAGGACCTAGTATAAATCTGCACACAAAGCAAGTACCTAATAAAGACATTTTTATAATGCCTGGAGTTTAAACTCATTTACCTACAGAAGCCAGCCAGGTAGGCAATTTAAACGAGCTGTTTACTTTTATTAAATGTAGGAAAACATATAATTGCCCTATTATTCTTAAAACACACAACCCTGTGGTAGTCTCTATTTTTCTCCTGCTTTTGAAAGACTGTAAGATAAATAGCAAACAAGCACCATAATAAATGGCAACTGAAAAGCAACCTAGTTGTTGGCATAGCACCAAACTGGAAAGCAAGTCCAGCATAAGCCACTGCTTGGCTCCAGCCACTATTTCCTATGGAAGAATATAGGTACAGATTTTAGAAAAAGCTTTCAAGTTAATATAAGCTTTTTCTATTATAGCTGATGTTTTGCTTTCCTATTTTTTAAAATCATGACTGTACTTTTCTTCCACAGAAAAATGCCAGGAAAGGCAGAAACGAAGCAGAATTTTAGCTTCTCGATACAAAAATTATAATTTAAATTAAGCTTTATAATGATCTGTTACTAAGAAATTAAAAATATTTATCAGCACAAATTTTATAATACTGCTCAATCTAAGCTCTCTGCCTACCTTCTAACCTGTCACCCCCCGACATTTCCCACATATTAAATAATAAATGTTACTTTTACAAAGTTTAAATCCTTTATGGTAATGCTACGCAAATGCATATTCTCATTTAATAGTTTAAAAATTTTTATTTTCGCCGGGCCAGTGTGGCGTAGTGCTTGAGTGTCAACCCATGAACCTGGAGATCACAGTATGATTCCTGGACAGGGCACATGCCCAGGATGTGGCTTTGATCCCCAGTAGGGAGCATGCAGGAGGCAGCGCTTTATGATTCTCTCTCATCACTGATGCTTCTCTCTCTCTCTCTCCTTTCCTCAATCTGAAAATCAATAAATACATATTTTAAAAAATTTCTTTTCATAAGAAAACATTATACTTACAAGCACCATCTTCATCATAGTTACTAAGATCGGCATGGACTGTTCTGCTGAATTCTAATACATTGTACCACTGATCTTTGTTCATAACACGATACTTTGATTGCTGTAGAAAATGATATAAATATTTGAATTATAGAACAAGCGTTATTCATTAGGGCTTGACTTTAATAAATCTAGTTATATTTTGTAATTTGTTTTTCCTAAAACATTTATTCCTCTTTTAAATTACTTGTGTTTTTAAGAGAATCCTCAGGGCCCTGGCTGGTGTGGCTCAGTGGCTGGAACACCAGCTGTGCACTGAAGGGTCTCAGGTTCGATTCCGTCAAGGGCATGTACCTGGGTTGCAGGTTTGATCCCCGGCCCCAGTTGGGGCATGTGCAGGAGGCACCAATCGATGTGTCTCTCTCACACAGATGTTTCTCTCTTTCCCCCACTCTGTTCCCTCCCTCTACTCCCTCTAAAAAATCAATGGAAAAAATATCCTCTGGTAAGGAAAGGAGAAAATCCTCAGGGGCATTTACATATTAACATCGTTTCCCCTCCCCCCTTATTTTTCTTTCATTTTTGAAGAATAACAAGCACATTGGGGTACTAATGAATTTTTACCTATGTAGATATTTGTGTAAACACAAATGAGATCAAGATATACAATATTTTCTATACCCAGTATGTTCCCTTGTGCTTTTTCCAGTAATTCATTTCTTTGCATGAGATTTACTGTGGCTACATTGTAAAGTTGGCATCTATGGAGGCAGTGGAGAAAGACTATAAGCATGGGTTCAAATCCCACTTCTGCCACTCAACTGAGTAACCTTAGGGAAGGTTACTTAACAACAGAACACATCTCCTCATTTGCTAATGGGGATAAAATGTAATTCAAAATGGTGTTATAAAGATTTAAAAAGAGCCCTAGCCAGTGTGGCAGTTGGTTGGAGTGCCATCCCTTACACCAAAAGGTAGTGGGTTCAATTCCTGGTCAGGGCACATTCATTCTCTCTCTCCCTCTAAAACT